TGTCACGCAATCCTGATGCAATAAAAAAATTATTCGAAAACCATATAGTGGATAAATTCAAGAAATTGTGATGTTATAGGAAATTAATAAAGATGGCACTTACTAATTTTTAAGTCTGTGCGTTTTCCCAAACCTCAGATATTCGTCGAAATATTTTGCACAAATTCACAGAACCCAGTATGGAGCCGCCATGTTGGTGTACCTCCGCGTAAACCAACATTGCGGCCGGAAAATAGTGTAAACATCTGGAACTTGCTTTGGCTATCTAGGCGACTGATCATCTGTATTGAGCAAACAAGCATTACATAGGCACTTTTCCTAATACTAATACTAAAATAACCTGATAAGTATATGTTTTTCGACAAACGCGTTCGTAACTTTATGTCACGCACCGCCATAACTCTGAAATTCAAAACGTCTCGCTTGATTGGGAAACGCAAAAACAAAAACAACAACAACAACAACAACAACAACAACAACAACGACAACGGCTAAGGAAAATAGACTGAAATGTTTATAGGCTGATATAAAGACCTTGACTCATTTCGCTCCCTAAAGACCTGCAAACTAGTAATAAGCTATTAATCGATTCCAAGAAATGCAATCAAAGGCAGAATAGCTTGAGCACATCGATTCGATTGAATTTCGTACGACTTCAAATGCAGAACATTTAGCTCAATTGCCATATAGCTAGTATAACGACTGCCTGGGTACACGCAGCGAGCGTCTAGTTTTGTTGATTTTATATCTCGTTGTGTAATTATTTATTTATTCATTTGACATTGATTTATTTATCTCTTTTTATTTGGCCAAGAAATTGCTTTCCGTTAGATTGAACTGCAACTGAAGCACAAAGAAAGAAAGTAGAAGTGAATCACAGCTGTATTAAGCTTTAATTTAACGCTGGCTCTAGATTTCTTCATATCTCTATTTTCCTTATTTAGGTTACTACCAAGATTAACAATGGCACAGATCAAGACGTCATCTGTATGAGAGGTGAGTCTATCACCACCTGAAGAAAATAAAATGCTGTCTGAAATAATGAACTTTAAAGAAATTTAGAGAGATCTGCAGATTATCTCAGTTGTTCATGAGCATTAATTGTCATAAATATATCTAAAAAAAGGTGTAAAGTTTTTTTGACACACGCTAATATAGCTGAGGCACAAAACTGACCCAAACGTCCATTAAAATACCAGTTGACAGGACTAATCCTCTGTAGTTAAGAATTTTGCTGATGCTCTTTCAATTCCCTCTGTTTGGTCTGTTCAGGCAATTATCACTAGTAACAAAGACTTGTAATGGAGTCTATAACTTATAGATTAGTTTGTTCCCACAAATATAACAATACGACATCCAGCTAGGTTCTTACATTGCAATTGTTTTTGTTTCAGGTGCTCGTGGGCTCCAGGGCCTAGAAGGCCGTCGGGGGAGACGTGGTCGCCCAGGGTACATAGGAAAATCAGGGAAGAGGGGTCCCCCTGGGGAGAGGGGCCCGCAAGGGCCGCGCGGCAGGCCGGGAAAAGCTTTTGCTGGAAACACGTCAAAACTGATCGAAGACATAGGTAGTAAAAACTAATGATTATTTTACCGATGTTATATGGCACTTATAAAACGCTTCTCGATTGGAATCCTATATGTCTGTACCATAGGCTACATCTGTACTATTAGCTATGTCTCTACTGTGTGTCTGAAGGGTTCGGGAAACCTTTTCAAGGTACGATGAACGACTTCAAATGACTATAACATACATCAAAAGCAAAACGACTCAACTGGAAAACGCTGAACGTAACCTTTCCAATAAATTACGAGATATTTTAGGTCATAATTATATAGCTCCATCGAAATCTATGGAACGCCAGAACTGTCTTATGA